TGACACAGCAGCTCTAATGGTTCATTTGTGAAGGGGATTTTTGGATTTAATGCACGGCTCAAGTCATCTCGCTCAAATGCCACTGAGTTGCTTGGAGCCGTGCCAGGTGCTGTTGGCTGGCAGTGATGCTATCTTCCTATAATCGTTAACTGCAAAAAAAAAAAAAAAAGAGAAAAAACACGCCCCGATGTTGTTGAACTCTTGCGGTAGGGGAGTTATTGCACCTCAGTTTCGGCATCTGTTCATCGGACTTCCTGTGGTTTTTCATCGAATCGTCTGATTGACAGCGCAGACAGGCTGCAAAGTTCTTGGTCTGTCTAGGTTATACCCTCTTCCCAACCACTAAATCTGACTTCTGCTTTGTCTGGCAGAAGAAGACAAGATAGGGCGCTGTGGTAGGTTGATTCACCAGAGCTGATAAGTGGTGTCTGTATTTCAATCGTGCAGTTGAAATCCTGGTGTTACCTCCGGCTCGCAAGTTTTCAAGCCTTGTCTTGGGTCGGTTTGTTGTGAAGTAGCTGGGGTTGTCTCTGCTCTGGTAATGACTGGAGAGAAATGCAAGGAACGGCTCCGCTGGACCCGTTTATGTCAGGGCAGTGAGTGCAAAAACTTAAAGAGCAAAGCGAGCGTGTAATGAAAAACTTCTACAAGGGTGTGTAGTCATAGGACAAGGGGGAATGGCTCTAAGCTAAAAGAGGGCAGATTTAGATTAGAGATTAGGAAGAAATTCTTCCCCATGAGGGTGGTGAGGCCCTGGCCCAGGTTGCCCAGAGAAGCTGTGCCTGCCCCCTCCCTGGCAGTGCTCAAGGCCAGGTTGGATGGAGCTGTGAGCAGCCTGGTCTGGTGGAAGATGTCCCTGCTGATGGCAGGGGGGTTGGAACCAGATGATCTTTCAGGTCCCTTCCAACCCAAACCATTCTATGATTCTATGAACTTGTACATCTTTTGACACCGTCTAGCTGAACCAATAGGGCTGTGAAGGTAAAAAAGGGATAATCTATGCCATGCCACTTTCCACCTATTGTTAGTACTGCCATTGAAGGTGTCTTAGAATAGTCCCTCTTTTCAGACAGTGCTAAAAATTGGGCTCGTTTGGGTGTCACCAGCTGGGGAGCAAGTGCTTTTCGAGGATGAAGTTGGACACAACAGCAGCAAAGCAGAAGAAAATGGCTTTCTGCATTGCTGCTTTGATGTCCTACTCTGGGAATTCCGTTAACCGCCGTAAAATCCTCTCCAGTGCTGGCTGCGGTGTTTTCTGCGAGTGTCCCCGAGACTCTGGTGACCTGGTTGTTTTACAGCTCTCCTGAAAAATTCTTTTGGTGTCATCTCCTGTCTGGCTGCAGCACGTTGTGAAGGCTCCCAGTCGCTCATTTGGGAGCAGAGCATGCAGGAGAGAAATGGCACAGAGTTGAATTTAAACGTTCCTTGAACTAGCACCCCTCAAAAACCTTAAAGCTTTATGGCATTCTCTCCGTGGGGGGCTCTAGGATTTCTCATTTTTAATGCAGGAGAAAACATGGCCTCCTCACAGCCATGGATCTTTGAAGTCATCTGAAGAAGCTGGGTTTCCATTACTGACTTTGAAGTCAAATTCTCCACGTCTCATTAGCGTCTTGGGTCCGCTTTTACGGGGGACCATCAGAAAAGGATCACTTCTGCCACTACTTTTTTTTTTTATAAACGTACATTTGGCATTGTGTGTGTGTAATGGGAACGTGTATTATATCTCCCCTGAAAAGTCTCATTATCCTTGTCTGCATTCCCAAAATAACCCTGCAGACTGTTCAAAGCATATTCTGAGTATGAGCGAGTCCAGGCTGATTGCAGTGAGTTACGGTCTTTAATCTCATATTGATTATTACATTGCTACAGGACGATCACAATAGATGGCAACATTGATCAGTCTGAAGAAAGGCTTCATGATAAAATCAATGCATGACTGTTACTGCCTGAAAATATGAATGCTATCTGATATATGCTGTCCTTCCAGCTGAGAGATGATGGGATAGTAAGAGCTGAGCATCTCAGAAGTAGCTGTTGGAATTTCTAATACGATTTTACCCACTGTTTTAAAGCTAAAGATGTTTGTTAAGCTGCTTGAGAGACCAGAATAGTCCCAGACTAGTGGGACCATTCTGGGCTCCCAGAGTGTCTGCAAAAACAGTAGCTATCATCTGTGACCCTGACGGTAAAGAAGTTATCTGTGTTTAATTCAAGTCAAATCAGCATCTTTAATCGCCTTTTTTTTTCCACCCCACCTCCTATTCCCTCCCAGAAGGACTAGTACACGCTGCAGCACTGGCGCACAGCCACCTTTGGGATGAAGAATGACAGCTGCGTAAGGGCTTTTCTCTGCTAGGAAACGTTGCCGTGGTTTCATCATGAGGTTTAACCATTCATTCTGCTGATGCAAGGCCGAACTGAACGCGTTCCTGTCTACACTGACCACAAGCCAGGAAGCGTTTAGGGGGGGAAGTGGGGAAGATTACACTGAGGATAAGCAGAGTAGAATATCAGTTGTTTTTTTTTTAAAAAAAAAAAATTAAAATCTCCATGAGGGCTTGATTACAGTGAGGCTTAAGCTGCCGAAAGAATTGGGGTTTCCTAAGAAGAGGGGTGGGGTGGCAGAGGTGGAGAGCAGGCACGGCTTGAGGGCTTGGAAGGGCTAGAGGGTGTGAAGGAAAAGAGGGATCTCGCAAGGCCGATGAGAAAGAAGAAAACTTGGGCAAGTACAAAACAGAAAGATACACTAAAGAAAGACCAGAAAGATGCAGTGGAAGGGAGCTGAGGATGAGACTAGACTAGGACATGAATGCAAGATACCTGAGAGTGAAGAAACAAAATGATGTGGAAGATTAAACAGGCTAGTCAAAACAGGCTTGAGGTGGAGAGGTTGTAGGGAGGAGGTAGAAAATGGTTTAGGGGTGCAAAAGGGCTATGGGAGAGCTTCTCTACCGCAGACTGCTTGTCTGACGCAGGAAATAAAGCTTGCTGATGTGTCTTTGAGGTTGTGGGCTTTGAAGTCACCAGGAGTTACATGCAGAAGTGCCTTTAACAACCTTATCTTTTAACTGCCTTAGTTCCTTAAACAGAGATAATAGTGCTGGAAGCAATACTGTCCTCCTTCCCTCCCTGATAGCTCTGAGGGTGAGCTCCCCACACGTTCTAATGCCATCAAGTACAATAATGACAGCCACGCCAATGGCCAAAATGGTTCTTCTCAGGCTAAATGCTGGCGTCCAGCTAAGTTAGATCTGTGGTGAAGGGCCTGACCCCAACAGAAGCCAAATCATGGCAGCTGCAGATGGAGCGTGCTGGAAGGTGACACCACTGCTGCCTTCACCGTAGGAGATGGCGTGGGGTTGAAGGAAGCTGTCCATGGAGACGTGTTCCTCACAGAGCATAATGCGGGTGGCACCTTTGTGACTTGGAGTAATTGTATGCTCGGTATTTGCACCAAACCGCTCTGGTAAGAGCAGCAACACAAGGAAAGAGAGGAAT